AGGATTACAGGGTTGTTTCAAACGGGAGGACAAACATTCATTTAATCTCTGTAAATATAGGTCAGTCTGCGAGGAATGCATGACTCCAAATACTGCTGACCAATAAGATTTGAGCACTTTGGCTGCATGCAGCTTGTTGAACAAAACTGGGATAAACTGCAGAAATTCAGCCTCATCCTGCGAGGTGACCAACACCACCGCCTTTGACCGCACGTTTGTGAGGACGGCCCTCCAGCGTGCAGCAGGTTCACTTTAATTGAGCTTTATTTATATTGCACCTGATCACAACAACAGTCGCCTCCATCGAAGGACTCCTGACTGAAAGAGAAAACCTCCGGCATCATCAGGCTCAGGGAGACGCAGCCATCTGCTGCGACCATATCTCCACCTGATCTGCAGATCTCCAGAGCAGAACGAGAAGGACTTTTGGCAGCTGCAGCCCAAGATGGAGAAAATAAAGTCCATCCAACCACAACCTTTCCTTTCTGGAGAGGCAGCTAAATGATACAGACGACCCCTTAATGTGAGGCGGGAAAGGGCGGAGCTAGCAGCGAGTCACTGCTCAGGTGTGGGTGGTGTAGTTCTTTCACATGGATTACAGTAGATAAATAAATGAAGTTGTTATGCGGTGGGCTGTTATCTGTACCGTTATAAAGTCTTTATGTGAGAAACGCTGGATTTGATCTAAATATATGATTCCAGTTTAATCTGCATCCTGTTTAACTCATTATCAGTTTGCACCTCGCCGAACCACGGCCTGCTATAAAGTACCAACACTGACGATGACCAGACTCATCGTGTAGCATCCTTCAGTGATTTGAGGATTTAACCGTTGTGAAGCCACCTGAGCCGTGCCCGGCCTGTCCAGGGGATTGATGGGAAAGCCAGACGACATGTGCAACGTTTTACTGTGGGCTGCTCTTCTATTTTCTCGCTGGAAAAAAACTCTCACATCCATGAAACACACATTTGAGCCTGAACAGGAAAGGGGACTATATAGGCTATAGCATGACACGTGTAAGCAGATCTAGCTGCATTTGAAGTTTTAAAAGCTTCTGCCTGAAAGATTTAGTATCGAGAGGGGGGAACTGTATACGACACCCTTGCAGGACCCCTTATAAATTGGAATAAATTTTTCAAAGGAAATCATAAAAAGCCCTTTCCTTTTCCCCTTCTCGCCATGCCATGCTGATGGCTCCATTTAAACTGGGCCTATCCACATTCTTTCACCATTACTGCTAAGTATTGAGCTTTACCTTCAGTGACAGAGAGTTTAAACTGAGGTTGGAGCGTTTTAATGGCCCAATTTGAGCCATTTTTACATTACATCAGGATGTATTGTGGTATTGTTTGGAAAAGGGCGAAGAATAATACAGGTCCGGGGAGAACGACAAAGCCAGCAACTTCCTACAAATCGACCCGGCTGATGAGAAAAGCAAAGCATGTGTAACGGCTTGGAGCGACCCTAAAAGGGTTCCTGGTTTAAAGAGGTCGGTTAAACGTTTCAAGTCCCGTCACGCTTCACTGGGACAGCTTGTAACAAAG